GGCACACTGCTGGCTCATGTTCAGCCAACAGTCGACCAACACCCCCAGGTCCTTTTCTGCCAGGCAGCTCCAGTCACTCTGCCCCCAGCCTGTAGCGCTGCAGGGGGTTGGTGTGACCGAAGTGCAGGACCTGGCACTTGGCCTTATTGAACCTCATCCCGTTGGCCTCAGCCCATTGATCCAGCCTGTCCAGATCCCTCCGCATAGCCTCTCTATCCTCAAGCAGGTCGACACTCCCACCCAACTTGGTGAGGGTGTACTCAACCCCTTCATCCAGATCATTAATAAAGATGTTAAAGAGAACCAGACCCAGTACTGAGCCCTGGGGGACACCACTCGTGACCGGCCACCAACTGGATTTAACTCCATTCACCACCACTCTCCAGGCCCGGCCCTCCAGCCAGCCAGAGTACTCCTGTCCAAGCCACAGGCAGCCAGTTTCTCCAGGAGGATGCTGTGAGAAAGCATATCAAAGGCCTTGCTAAAGTCCACGTAAACAACATCCACAGCCTTTCCCTCATTCACCAAGTGGGTCACTTGTCATAGGAGGAGATCAGGTTTGTCAAGCAGGATCTGCCTTTCATGACCCTGTGCTGGCTGGGCCTGATCACTTGGGTGTCCTTCATATGCTGCATAATGGCACTCAGGATGGTCTGTTCCATCACCTTCCCAGGCACCGAGGTCAGACTGACAGGTCTGTAGTTCCCTGGGTCATCCTGCCAACCCTTCTTGTGGATGGGCCTCACCTTTGCTAGATGCCAGTGGGCTGGGACCTCCCCAGTTTGCCAGGACTGCTGGTAAATGATGGAGAGTGGCTCCGCAAGCACTTCCACCAGCTCTTTCGGTACCCTCAGGTGGATCCCATCTGGCCCCATAGATTTGTGTATGTCCAGGTGTTGGAGCAGGTCCCTCACCAGCCATAAGATCTAAAATGGTCTGCTGGCCTTATCCCCCGTACAAACTTCTTGTTCTCAACTTCAAAATGAGTTGTAACCATACAAACAGCACACTGTTTCTGTGCTCCCAAAATATTTCTGTTTTAAAACAAGTGACACTTCTGACTAATTTCATCCAGCACACAAAATATTACACTTTGGTATAGTTTAAAGTCTTTCATTTTAACAATGACCGATAAAAACATGGCATAATTTATACTTAAATCAATTTTTCAAAGTGCTGAAGTCTATTGATGGATTTCTATCCTTCTTGTCTTCATTAGTGGAGCAAATATTACTTGTGCCACATGGGAGAACGCCAGTTTCCTACGCCAACAGCATTGCAAGAAAGAGCAATTTTAACAGGATTTCTTAGCCCTTCAAGGCAGTATCTTTGTCTGACTTCACTTTGTTCCTTACCATAGAAAAGCTGGAAACTCAAGACAGTAACAGCACAGTGCTTGTGAAACACGATGGCATATATCTACTTGTCTGTCTAATGACTTGGGAAAAGAGGGTGGGAAGAGAAGAAGAGCAGGCATAGGAACAGGAATCACTGTCAGAATTACCTAAGGGCTTTGGAAGTCAGTGAAAAAACCAAGCACAGACGTGCACGTGGTGATTAACCAAACACTGCGTGAACAAGCTGCTGCCTTTTCCCATTTGGCATGGAGGTGGATAAGGACCATGCCAAGAAGAAGGGAAAAGAAGGAGGGTTGTGTAGTAATTGTCAGAGCTATCTGTCCTTCTTTTATCTGTCACCAGGAGAAGGAAATGGCAGTAGACTTTTAGGCATGATATCTATTTCCTCTTGAACTGTATCTCCCAGCAGAGACTGCACAGGAGACCACTTCAGTAACAGAAGTCAAGTGATAGCTATGAAAATTGCTGCTTCTCTGGGTGACTAAGGCATATTAACATCCTTTTCTTGAAGCACAGGGATGCATAGGTATCACACACACAACCAGTCCTTTATATCTAGGCTGCTACAGTACAGGTGGGGTTTTATAATAATCTACCTTGGAATTTAAAATATTTGCACTGGAACTGTAAAGCATCTGGTATTACACATTTTGAAACGTTTCTCATATTAACAATGGTTATTTGGGGAGGTTAAATGATTACTTTAAATAAATGTGCTCCTAACCTAACACTAAAGCTGTGATTCAGATGATCAAGTAGCAATTTTCCAAATCAGAATTTGTTATGAGCTTGATTTCATTATTAGGTTTACATCATCTTTAAGTAAACAGAATAATAAAGAGGGCAAGCACACATTGAAGTACCATAATCAATCTTGTAATTTTCTCTTCCATTCCTAGAATGAAGAAGGTTAAGAGAAAGCTACCTCATAGTTCTGTTCTGAAACATCCCAAACAAGCACCCTCACATGCTAGCGAGGACTATGATTTTAAAACATTTCCCTCAAAGCAATAGTTTTCCATGGAATTTTCTTTGCCACCATTCTGCTGAAAATACATTTAAAACCTATGCTTACACATCTGTCCCAAATTTTGTCAGTGAGGAGGATCAGAGTGATTAATGACCTCCTGGATAAAATGGAAGCTCAGCAACAAAAGAACTGGTTTCTATCTTACTGTAAAACTGAATCCCAGCATAATTAAATCACAACTATATCCTTGTTATAATGTTATAGTTGATATAACACAGGCAAGTTCTCCATGCACGGTGCATCTCAATGTACACAGGCGTTCAGTGCTCATGCATATTCATTATACAAACAGGCGGGTGGGTGCATGCAAAAGAACATGCAGAATTAGACTCTTCTCTCCTTCCAGTTTTTCCTCCTACCACTATTCATAGCTTTTGCATGTTTCTAGTTCCTTGGTAGGTAAGACGTTCTTAGTGGCATCTCAACGTCGGTGCAAGAAGGAAGTTTTGAGTGACAGAGCCCTCCTACCACTTTTATTACAGCTAGTTTAATGCAATAGCTGCCAATATTGAAAAACTTAAATCCAATAAACTATTTTTCAAATAAACATATACATAGGCCTCTCCATTTCTATATTCTTCTTCATTTTTATAACCGTGATGTTTCACTGTATCTTGCTGAGCTAAAATAGATCTCAGGTAAAATTCTCAGAAGTGCCTACAGTTCCACTGACTTTAATAAGATATATGTTCTTTGATACCATGAGTGCTTTTGAAAATACTGCCTTTCAACTTCCTTTTGAATACTATCCTTACTTGAAATAGATTCTGGGAAATTATATCCCAGCAGTTTTCCAAGTTTTATCTAACGCTGATGGCCCTTAAAAAAATCCTTGCCAGATGTCTTAGGATTTCAGGTCAATCCCTTGGTGTCTGCACACTCGAGACTAAAGAGAAGCAACTCTCAGAAGGTCAGACCTTGTTCTGGGGAAATTGCACAGTTATCACAGATTTTACTCCAAAGCAGAGTGGGCTTCAGGGAGGTTCTCAAAGTCTCTTGCAAAAACAATAGGAGAAGGCCACAATCACCTCACAGAGCACGACGGTAAAAGGCCTTTTGCTGCTTCACACAAATTTCAGGACCAGTAAAGTATAATTTCTGATTTTGCCCATCCCTATTAAGCTGGTAGCGTTTATCACCATAGAAAACTCTCAAGTATTCCTTTATTTTTATGATCTGTTGCTACAGCATAGGTATAAGAAAGTTATTTGGGAAAAGGAAACCCCAAAACTTTTACGAGTGGGCAATAATTTTTCATCTCCAACTCATAATTAATGGACCCAATGTTTGTATTAAAATGGACAGATCAAGGCTAAACAGAAGATTCCATGAACACTGTAGTTTTGACAGACCCCAGATATAGTAAATTGACAAGAAAAATATTCCTTAATATGCTAATGAAAAAGAAAAAACTGTAAGAAGAAAGTAACACTGTTGACCACAGTGGGTGGATCTGGTCTCAGCTTGCAAAGAAACAGTCAAATGATGACTAGGCACCTGATGTTAGATGTGGCTTCAGAAAGCAAATTTTTAAATTCTCTTCAGCAACACAATACTTGCCTTGAAAAATGTAGGCTCTCAGCTTTTCTGGCACTTCTGGGAGAAGTTGCTTTGTTCACATTTTTAAATTAAGATTGTACAATAGCAGCCAGCCATTTTGTCCGTGCTTTTCAATGTAACAGAAGGGTATAGACAACCTCTGAATTTTATTTAAGGCCTTCTTTCTTTGTTTATTTACTCAAGCCAGTAAATTTTTTAAAAAGCACCTTGGTGCAATGCAAGAGTGCCTTTACAGAAATAAGGCGCCTGGGAAGATTGAATACTGTAATTCCCTCTAATTTTGAAAATGATCACTGCTGAGTGTTTTCTGAGGGTAAAAGTGTAATTGGTTATAGATCAATAAGTAATTTCATTCAAAAGGAACTCTTCTGTTCCTGAAAGTAGAGAGATTCTTAAATCAAAATCAAACTAATACATTAACAAAGTTGAGACTAAACTAAACAACAAATTTTTATACTGCCCTAGTTAAATTTATCTCAACTGATCATTTATTTATGTTGCCATAAAAACCCAGATGCTTTCAATTTTGATTGCTAGTTATTTGCTTTAAGGCAGCTGAAATTACTTTTTAAGACTTCCTAGCTTGACAATCTTGCTTTCTACTTAAGATTTATCATCACAAAGGAATGGTGAAATCAGAGGATAAATTCTAGTATTAACAATAAGCACAGTCAATTGTGATACACTGCAATTCCCCCAGCAGATTCCAGATTAAATCCTCCCAGATGAATGTACCATCCTCTGACATTGCCAAATCCTGTTCTATGAAATTAGATTGCAGTAAATTTCTATATCTGTACAGGTATCACGGTGTGATTTTTTTAATTGAAAAGCCATATAAAGTAGCACTGTATAAAGTAAAAGGTGTTTTGAGAATGTCTGAGACCCTGTACGGTATTGTATGCTACAAACCATTAGCATTTAGTTCACTGTTGACCCTAAAATTGTTCATTAACAAACTGCTGTATTTACATTAAAACAAATTTTAAAATGACAAATATAAGAAGAATCAGGAGAAGCAGAAATATCATGCATTTCATAATAATACTTACGATGTGCAGCTCTAAATAATCTCCGAGCCCAGTAGAGCTGTCCACTCGTACCAACACAGCTTCTTTTTGAACAGTACTAAACCCTATTGCCAGTCTGTCCGCACGAGTGCTTGGCCGATCATTAGGGGGCCACGTGTAAGTGATTTGTCCACCACCTTTGCTAAAGATATATGTTGTTCCCGCTGTAAAACAAGAAATAAAGATAATCAGCTCGCTTGCACCAGCGCACACCCATACAGAAATCATACGCTCTGCAAAAATCAAGGTCTTCCCCTATAGCAAATGGATTCATAGAACCGAACAAGAATATATTTCAACAGGAAAGGGTCTTTATCGCTGAAATTTTTGCAGCCAGCGCAATATTAGTGCTTTTTATATAGTGCAATCAACACAGAATATAACATAATTGCATATGCAGCAACTTAAAATATCATAGCTCTGATTCAGAAATGTGGATCTATTCAAAAGAGTTCTTAAGCATATGCTTGAAGAACGTGTTTCTGTGATGTGCAGAACAGGGATGAGTTGAACCAAATTCTTTTCCAAACTGGGCCTATGTGGAGAGGAAATCAAGTCATTCTAGTTATCTCATTACTGACCAAAAAATGCAGCTCCTTATTTACACAATGAAAATGATATGCACTATATGACACACCATCGTGCCCAGCGAAGCGAGACGTTACCAGATACATTCAGATAAGACTTTTACGGATCTGAGGTTTTTCAGTTTGTGAAAGATGGGGACAACAAATGGAAACATGCTTTACTTGTCACGTCAGGACAAAAAGGTATCAGTCTACCATCTAAGTAAGCAATGGCTTATTCGCATAACGCTCAATGTATAACTTAATAAGAGTGGAAATCTTTGCACAGTATCTCCAGCGTGCACTTACAAAATCTATAATCTGCTTTAAACAAGTGGTATAATCTGAAAGCACTTAGCGCTCAGGTGCTTCGCTTCATCACCAGCTTATTTCCTCTGAGCTAAAACAGCAGCATATCCGCACATTTTCCATTTAAAACCTGCACCCTAACAACAGCGTGTGCCAGGCAAACTCTGCACGTGCTCCATCTACCATTTGTAAAGTCACTACAAGCTGTCTGCTTCTTTTCTGTGAAACAGGTTGAAGCTCGGGGAGATATGTCAGTGCATTGCAGACACAGGTGTCACGTTTTACTAGCTTTTCTAAGCTGGCTCACTCTGTGGCTACTCTCAATTTTATTAAACGTAATTCAGTTTATTCTACCCAATATTCTTACTATACATACTTCCCATGTCCACCTAAGGAGATTGTGCATAACAACCAAATTGTCGCTTTCTTTCTTTCTTTCTAGATTGACCAAAAATGCTGTGAGCACGTAAAAGGATCTAAAATCCCTTGAATATGTAGACTTTTAAAGCCAAAACCAAGAAGGGCTGTAAAGTTACGCCACTCCTTTAACTTCCAGATGTCTCAAAATCTTATTCTACTGCTGGGCGAGACCGCTTTGTGACAGTCTCAAAGCAAAAATGTCACCTGGTGTTTTTAAAACGATATCCCATATTTATTTCTAACATCAGTTTTCCTTTATGGAATTACTTTTTTCCAGCCCCATCAATTTGTAATATTTTATGCACTGCGCATAGCGCTTAAAAAACTGTAAAGCTCATTTTCTATCAACACACTTGCAGGATTGCACTGTGCTTCAAATAGATCTCTTGGCTTTTTTCTTGATGGCAAAATACCAACCTGCATGTGTTTTAGGAAAGCTTGTCAACTCTCTTTAGCAGAGACAAACACAATAGCAGATCCGATATCTAAGGTTTCACTTATACTCCAAGTGAAACCAAGTTTTATCGTCATGTTCAAGAATAGTGAAGATAGGGGCTGTGCCTTAAAGACAAACACAATAACAGATCCGATATCTAAGGTTTCACTTACACTCCAAGTGAAATCAGGTTTTTATTGTCATGTGCAAGAATAGTGAAGATAGGGGCTGTGCCTTAAAAAAGGTTGGCAATGGACATAGAATCATAGAATGGTTAGGGTTGCTTGGCAATGGACATAGAGTCATAGAATCATAGAATGGTTTGGGTTGGAAGGGACCTCAAAGATCATCTAGTTCCAACCCCCCTGCCATGGGCAGGGACACCTCCCACCAGACCAGGTTGCTCCAAGCCCCATCCAGCCTGGCCTTGAACCCCTCCAGGGATGGGGCAGCCACAACTTCCCTGGGCAACCTGTTCCAGTGTCTCACCACCTGAGGAATGTGTGTGATGAAAACCTAATTTCCTGCTCTCCCACCCACCCTTGCTTTCCTCATACACATTGCTCTGAGATGCTCAATAAGCTGTTGCGTGCGATTCAGTACTAATGGTCGAATCTCCAGTTCTAGTACACCCCAAAACAAAGACACATGAGACAGGCAATATCGCTCTTGATGGTCCTCAAGTTCTTCTCGTTGCTGCTAGTGCTTCAAATCTTGAACCAATTGAGAAGTGACAGAGTTTGGACCTTTACACAGTGTATGTCACATTGTTGTCTGTAGTGAAAGGATTTATTCTGTGTTGTCGAAAAACTGAGGGCTTGATCCGAAGCTCATTAAAAACAGTGACAGCCTTTCTGTTGACTTCATAAAATACTGTGTCAGGTCATGAATGAGATTCTTATAAGTTACAAAAATGAGAAGGCTAAGAAAAAACAACTCCTCACACCTCAATGCCACAGATGAAACTGTTAGAATAATATATAAGATTTAAGTGGGAGTGCATAATTCTCCTTTTCTTGGTTGTAACAGATGTGTTTACCCAATATAGAAGACAAAGAAAAACCCTGCCAAGCGATGGTGGAGTCATACTGAATACAATGACCCAGAAGTAAGTATCCAGATCTGAACAATGAGAAACTGCAGTTCTTATTCAGAGTGATCCTTGGGTTTTTTGCTAAATCCTGCCCTTCAAATAAACCAATGAAGAGCAATTCATTCCATACTGCTGCCGCATTGAAGCCAAGGTCAATGTCAATAGGGCTGGATAAATCTAGCTGTAAATATTAAGCTATGTAGAATCAACATCAAAGTTAAAAAAACTTATCTTTTATCCACGATAACATGTGGCTTATGTTTTTTTATGGCAAAGCTTTCCTTTCTTTATAACTGTCCATTTTGTAGCTCTTCAAACTAACTGCGTGTCTGCTAACAGACTAATTAATCAATGCTGATGAATACAGATCTGCCTCTGTCTAAGCTGTACAGGGAGTCACGTTCCTTGAATTTCCTGTATTAATTATGAAAAAAAAAATGGGTCGGAAGCCATTTGAGAATAGGTCCTCTAGTGTTTATATTTCAAGAAAGACAAATATAATAATGTAAAATTTATTACTCTGGGATTGATCTCAGCTTATAGTCTGACCTCCCATTAACTATTAAAAGCTAGGAAACGAGCAGTTGTTCGAAACCACCCTTGCTTACTTTCAAATTTGGATCCGTTAAGAAACAACAGAGGAAGCCTAATTCACTTGCTCCAGAAAGGCTTTTATGCTCTCTGACAAACCCTATAACATCTCCACTGTTCTTTCAGAACATTGTCACTAAAATCCAGGCATCTTCCTTCTCTCTTTTAGCTTATGGCATTGTGTTGTTTGGGGTTTATCATCTCCAGAGAATTGAAAGCAGTAGAATTAAAATGTCAAGAATAGCAATGCCATCAGCACAGTACTTGTAAGGAGGCAAGTTTGTAACATGCCAGTTATATCTCTCAGCCCCAGAATTTACTGCGTAATTCTTTATGCGGCCGTGCATCTACACAATGTTTAGGAAAAATGTCCATACAGCTCTTTGAAATTCTTACCCGTGAAAGCACGGCTCCCTATTGTAACAAACTGCCAGCGGTCAAGATACAGGAATGGTTTTTAATGGCCTGGGTCTCTCAAGTCCTACTTGTTTGCTAAATTCATCTTTATGAAATAGCCCATTCATTTCAGCACAGCCTGGCAGCAACTCAAGGACGTCTGCTTACCTATACAGTATTAAGCAGATAAATATTTTGTTTAGTACCCATTTACTGTATCTATTACTGTGTATGACTGCAAAGCTTTTCAATATTTATTGCTCTGAAGTCACATCTGATGTAGTTTAATAGTTTGCTCAAATCAACAACAAATCAACAGCTTTCTACCTTCCTCACATTCATCCCAATTTTATGTTTAAGGTATGTAGCACTGAAAGGTAATGTACACAATTCCATTTTTCCCATATAACATTAGTAACAATCTTCATTTTCAACATTTGCATCAGGTTTCAGATTCCGGTTAAGTGAAAGCAATGCTTTGACTGAGCTCTGGACCCCAATGAACTATGATTCTATCACACTATAGCTAGAAAACTAAAGACCGAAGCCTGTAAACTTCAATAATGAAAACTGTTAGCTGCCCTTTCATTAATAGTAAAGCCATTTTTAACTCTTATAAAAATTGAGAAGGTTAAGCATTGCTGGTTATAATGAGAAATTACCCAATAATGTAATTTTCTTCCTTCTGTATGTTATCAGTACTTTACTTCATTGTGAGCTAGAATGTGAACCCTCTTATTCCCACTGGTAAGTAATTATTTGCATTGATAAACCTGCTGAATCCAGTGACACTGTTCGTGCAGGCTGCTATTAATTACCAAGAGTGAAGAATTTACAATATGAATCTCTCTCTATATATATATATACATTTGCACAAATATCTATGTGGTGGCATTAATCACACTTGTTACGTTCAGGGAAGCACATAAATCTCCATTAACACTTCTTTTTACATTTTTATCTATGTATTTTCATCCTCCCCAAGCTGAAGTTGCAGAAAAGACATTTGCTGGAAGAACAATACAGCAGCTCACACACACATCATCCATCAAGATCCTGGAATGTGTAGAGGACCGCTTCCTCATACAAATGTTAGATGTTCCAACGAGGCACTGCTGGATTTGCTACTCACAAACCAAGAAAACCTGCTTTGTGGTGTCTCACCTAGTGACAGCCTTGGCTGCTGTGATCACAATATTGTGGAGTTTGGGGTCCTGCTGAGCACGCCGAAGGCTTAGATTTCAGAAGAGCAAACTTCAGCTTGCTCAGAGGTCAGCTGGAAGGGATTCCATGGGAAGCTTTCATGGAGGGTAAAGGAGATAGCAAGTGCTGGGAGTTTTTCAAGAATGCTGT